AAAAAAGAGAGAGGATTGCGACCGCATGATCCAGACCAGCCGGCGCATCTGCGCAGTCTGATCAGGATACCATGCTGATAGTTATCACTTTCTCTAATTGTTATAGGGTTTGTAAGCGAACAGCATGGACCCTAATCAGACTGCGCGGATGCGCAGGCTGGTTTGGATCCATGCTGGTCGCAAACGCATTATGTTGGTTTTGTCGTGACGCGGCTCATATGTTTTATGTGGTTGATACAAGTTGATAGATAAAGTGTTATATACATCAATTGTTTTTATTTCAACCTGTTGGTTCTATTAGTCTATATTAATGAAAATAAGATAAATGATACTCAAATTATGCTGACCCTTGAAGATTGAAGTTTGACCCTTAACAATTTTGTGTGATGGATCACTGACTCTTGAAGATTGGAGTTTGACCCTAAACAATTTTGTGTGATGGATCACTGACCCTTGAAGATTGGAGTTTGACCCTAAACAATTTTGTGTGATGGATCACTGACCCTTGAAGATTGGAGTTTGACCCTAAACAATTTTGTGTGATGGATCACTGACCCTTGAAGATTGGAGTTTGACCCTAAACAATTTTGTGTGATGGATCACTGACCCTTGAAGATTGGAGTTTGACCCTAAACAATTTTTGTGTGATGGATCACTGACCCTTGAAGATTGGAGTTTGACCCTAAAACAATTTTGTGGTGATGGATCACTGACCCTTGAAGATTGGAGTTTTGACCCTAAACAATTTTGTGTGATGGATCATTGACCCTTGAGTTTTAGAATCTACCAAACACACTGTAACATGTAAACCATTTCTTGAATCTTGATTTTTTTTCCTTTTTTTAACTATCTTAGAAAAAAAAGTTTTGTTTTTTTTCTTGAAATATTTTGGCTTATCTGGAGGCATGCAACTTTAAACATTACTATTCATTTATGGAATTATTAACTTTTCCCTTCTAATAAGCGTAGTACTGTTAAATGTTCTTTATATTCTTCAAACAGCTTTGGACCTAAAATATGGGTAATGTGCATCTGAAAAACAAATAAAAATAAGAAAATAGAAAGATTAAAATGAAAAAATATTGAATAAAATGCACAAATATCTTTATTAACTTAGCCTAAATAAGAATCATCTGTACATGTACATACATGTATTGTCATGCTATAAAAATCAGTTATTTTCTTGTAATATTTTTATTATACATTTATAGTAAATACATTTATCAAAAAATATTATCATTTCTTTTATCATAAATACATTTTATCAAAAAAGATATTATAAGAAAATAACTGATTTTCTATAGCATGACAGTATGATAAAGTTTTGTTTGGTTTAAAGTCATACCAACACAGTAATACTAATATGCTGACATTCTAGCTTAACTACAAGTATCCTTACGTGTCCTTTGGACACAAGTGGGCACCTACATGTAACAAGAAACACCAACAGTTTTAAAGTCATATTGTGACTTTCCAGCTTCACTAATGAAGACTTCAATTGCCCTTTCGAGCATTATTTAAGGCTTGAGCTGGCACATCAGTAGAACCACTGACATCCCGTAAGTTAGCTGGATAACTTTCTGACATGAAAAAAGTCTCTAGGGGTTGTAAGTATGATCATTTTACCACTTCATAGTGATTTGAAGGAAATTGTTCTTTAAAAATTGTCTATGTGACCTTACTACATATGACAAAGTATTTAATTCATTTTTTTTTTACATTTTTTATGTACAGACATGGTTCATTCTAGATGAAAAACTGTACTGTAAGTTTTCAACAAATAAATTATAAATCAACTGATCTAAAGCTGAATTTAGTGATTCACCAAAACCTGTTGACACATATACTTATATAAACTTGTTGACTAGCACATATACTTATATAGACAATCTTTCTTTTTAAACAGTATTTTGAAATATAAAATATTAGTATTTTGAAATATAACAGTCCTTATGTTTGTTGTTGTTGTTTTTGGCTTTAACACCAATTTTAACACATTGTTTGGTCATAATTCAGTTAATCCACCTATCAAGTTTTCCTGGATAACTAACCAGTAACTACTAAGTTAACTGACTGGTACTTTCTGCATAATTTGTAAATCAGCGGTAAGAGACAAACAAGAGGGCCATGATGGCCCTGAAGTCGCTCACCTGTATATAGGCCCCTCGGAGCGGGGCCAGTTTAAATCCCAGGGCTTTTATTTGAACAAACTTGGTAGACACCCATTAGAAGATGTTTCATGCTAAACATCTAAGGTCTAGCTTGTTGGGTTTTTTAAAAGAAGATTTTTTAAGATTTTTCTTTACACATATATTTAAAAACAATGACACCCCTGGGGCAGGGCCAGTTTTGACCCCAGGGCTTTTATTTGAACAATCTTTGTAGACACTTACTAGAAGATGTTTCATGCTTAATATCTAAACTGTAGCTATTCGGGTTTTTTCGAAGAAGATTTTTAAGTTTTTGCTATATACATATAACGAAAATCAATGTCCCCCGGGGCGGGGCCAATTTTGACCCCAGGGCTTTTATTTGAACAAACTTGATGATCCAACCAGCCACCCCTAGATAAGAAATCCTATGCTCTTCCCAATGAGCTAAGCCAGCATTTTTGGGTCGAACTTTTAAGGATTGGCACCCGTGCCTGGCTCTTTTCAGGTGGCAAAGAACATTTATGCAGATTTAAGATGTACAAGGTAAATCAAAGGTTCAAGACTAAAACATTACCTGCATTTCTTGTTCATCACTTATCATACTAATTATATCAAGCACCTTTCTTAGATTGTCATAGCCAACTCCAGCTGTTAGTTCACTGAAATATAGATAATGAAATTTTACACCATTTGTCAAGACAAGTAGTTCACTGAAATATAGATAATGAAATTTTACATCATTTGTCAAGACAAAGTAGTTCACTGAAATATGGGTAATGACATTTTACATCATTTGTCAAGGCAAGAAGTTCACTGAAATATAGGTAATGACATTTTACATCATTTGTCAAGTCAAATTAGTCCACTTAAATAAAGATAATGAAACTGTACATCATTTGTCAAATCAGAAAATCCAAAAGCAAAATAATTTTAATCACTAATTAGCAATATATAAGTTACATTTTCTACAGGTCTGTTTTTATACAATTACATTATTATGGTTTATAAAGAACTTATTTTAGGAAGATATACGCATACACATACACTTTCTAATCTGTTCCTGGAACCAACATGTTCTGAGCAATGAGTGTAAAGTTTCTTGCTTAAGAAAACAACTTGCCCTTGGCAGGCTTGAACCCATGTGACTAGCGATCACTAGATTACTAGTCTGACGTGTTAACCACTCAGCCATGCTGCCACTTAATTATGTTATTTTTACTGATATGTTCAGTATTAGGGATGTCAAGATATTTAGTTTGTGTATTTGGATTTGTTTTACGGTGCACCAACACAATTTAAGTCATATGGCACTGAAACAGAAAAGATGAATTTGGCAAAACCTTGGATGTTACAAACTTAAAGCAACACCAGGGTTCAAAGCCACCTCACCTGCTGGAGCTAAGAGATGCATATACTTCAGTAATGTAAACTAATTTAGTTGCCTCTTACGATCACACAGGGTTAAATGGTGGCTGCAAATCTGATGCCTCAACACTTAAAAGGCAACCCTTCAGCCAGAAGTAATAAGAAACTAGAGAGATGATAACTTACTGTTGTACAATCAGAATCTGTTCATTCCTCTCAGCATCACTACAACCGTTCTGAATACAGCCTGTAAATTAATACAAGATTGTTTCATTTATACATCCTTTGGGTTAAACTAAACTTTTTTGTATATATATTAATGTAAGATAATTTGATTTATAGAACCTTTGGGTTAAACTAAACTCTTATTCACATTATTTTTTTAACTAAGTGCTTCATTTTCCTTTGGGTTAACCTTATCTTTTTATTCACATTATCTTTTAACTAAGTAATTCATTTTGCAAACATGTTTTTCAAGAGAAAGGGCAATAACTACACATATAATGCTTGACTGTTTAGAAACTTTCTGTAACAAATAAAAGAACTGAATACAATGTATATCTGAGAAAGTGCTAAAACCTGACATATAAAGCTAACATGACTCAAACATGACTGTTTGTTTACATTAACTTTACTTATGAAAGGTATTTTTTTTAAACAAATCATCCCCCCCCCCCCCCCCGAATAATTGGCCATCAACCAGATACAGGAGACAACAAAAATTTGGATTACAGTTCAGAACATGCTGGCTTAATTTGGCCATGAAGTGTGGCAAGACACCTTTCAAATGCTCATAACTAAAAGGGAATGTTCTGGATAGATCACCATCAACCCCAGACCTAATGAGTTTAAATGAGTTGCATTAAAGAACACAATCCACTTTAAGATCATTTGCTCCCCTTTCGTTTTGACACCCCTCTTTTCATTTTTAACACTCCTCTTTCATTTCCTCTCATCCCCTTTTGTTTTAGACACTCCTCTTTCATTTCCTTCCCTCCCCTATCAATTTTCCACTCTTTTCATTTCACCCCTTCCCTTTCATTTCCTTCCCTCCCCTTTTCATTTTAGACACTCCTCTTTCATTTCCTTCCCTCCCCTATCAATTTTCCACTCTTTTCATTTCACTCCTTCCCTTTTGTTTTTGACTCTCCCCTTTTCATTTTTGACAGTCCTCTTTCATTTCCTCTCCTCCCCTTTCGTTTTTAACACTCCTCTTATTTTCCCTCCCTCCCCTTTCATTTTTGCCACTCCTTTTCATTTCAACCCTCCCCTTTAATTTTTGACACTTCTCTTTCATTTCCTCTCCTCCCCTTTGATTTTTGTTACTCATCTTCATTTTAATCCCTCCCTACCCTTTCTTTAATTCCTGACAGTTTAAATGCACTTTCAAAACTTAATTGGTCTGCCCCTCTGTTTCAGCTTATTCCATGACAAATTCCCTCCTCCCAACACACATAATGCCTCATTCAGAGCCTGAATAATGCAAGTGGCTGCATTCAGGGAACATGATGATTTATTTATATGATGTTTTAAAAAAAACACTTAAATTATCAATGAGGACTCAATCAGGAAACAATCAGGGCATAATCATGAACAATATGTTTAGTACAAAAGGATATAATTAGGACACAAGAGGAATATTAATTACAATTAGGACAAGGTTAAATTGAGGCATTTTCAATACATGTTTTGAGGCATCCTTGTACAAGTTTTATTGTAATTTCTGCAGGTTATGATATTTTGTAAAAGCTAAGAATAATTTATAACCCTTTCCTGTGATATATGGGGCCAATAAAATTAAAGCAAAGCTAATCCTATAGCATGCTGTCATACAAAAAATACATGCATTGTATATAGATATAAAATTTGAAATGTATAAATTCAGAAACTTTTTTTGTTTTGTTTGGTTTTACAGTGGTCATAGGGCAATATATAAAATATGTAACAACCCTTCAGGGCAACCCCTAAGTCACCAGGGGGGGGGGGGGGCTTTTTTATTATTTACTGTTCTGTCCTGGCAACAATATAGAATTTTTTATACCAAATATTGCACAAAGTAATGACACTGATAGCAAAACATTTCTCATTTGAAAATAAAAACAATTTGCGAATCATACCAAATCAAACAGAAAAAAAATTAACACTTGAAACTTTTACATACAATTTAAAAGAATGGGCTGAAGGATGTGGAAAAAGTCTGATAGGAAGTTTGTTAACTATGGACCAGAAGAGCTAAATTAACCCTAACTACACTAAATATTTTAAATGGACTTGTCCATCTTTCAATGTGGACAAAACCATTCACCACTTAAATAATTTTTCCACTTTCAGGGTAAATTTCAAGATATGTACCAACTGCATTAGGAACAGTGTAGATAAGTGGTGGCCAATCTTTTGTTTGCAATGGTCACATGGGTAGAATCAATAACAGCCAGCAGTCTAATGGTTAAAATACACAGACATTGTAAAGGTCACAGGTAATCTTTCAAGCCTTTTGGGTGCAAAAAATACAACACATAAGATGCTTGACAAGAGCTGTCGGTAAGAGAGCCCCCTAACTAATCTTAATGCTTGATAGTAAAAAACCATTGATAATGTTAAATTTCAGGGCCAATATTTTTTTCGGACAAAGTCCTTTAGTTATTAGTTGGACTTCCTGCAAAATAACCAGGGAAGGACTGAATACAAAAAGAATTTTCATTTGTCATTGCAGAATTGCAAACTGAAATCAGTGAATCTCATTGGTCATTCTTAAATAAAATGTAAAGGACAGTTCTAACCATTCTAAAATAAAATTTTAAGGATAGCTCTAAAATAAAAGTATGGGATAGTTTTCGCAACAATAAAACAAAATTTAAAGGAAAGTTCTAAATAAAATATACAAGAATGAGGATAGCTAATTGTAAATGATTACAAAATTTATGTGAGACACCTAAAATAGAAATTGTCCTACGTTGAAAAATCATCAATATAAATAATGCTATAATTTAATTTCAACGTTTACAAAATGTGAATTTTCATAGCTACAAGAAATAATTATTACGTCAGTGTAATGCAAGCATTGCTAACATTTCTTCTTGTATTGAATAATATAATTTTGCATGCTAACTAGTTTTATTTTGGCTGAGTGTCTTTTTGAAAGATACTTCTTGTTTCATATCCATGTTACAGTAATAGGCCTTGGAGAGAGTCCTATAATGCTCTCAAAGAAGTGTATAAAATTTCAACTTGTTTCAAAGCCAGATGTCAATGAAATATGAAAATGTCTGAGGTGGTACACAAACTTTAATGTAAATTCTAAATAAAACTAGAACTATCACTAAATGTGATTAATACCCCCACAAGTCTGCTTCGGAAATGAGGATGTTACTAGTAACAGAATACCTTGTAATAGAATTGAAACATAGAGTTATGGTTGTGGGCAATTAAAGATAATTGTGGTTCATGTATGTTGCATTTCCTTTCAATGTGGTTGGCCATTGATGAAGTTTAATTGAATTACTCTGTAATAAGTCCAGAAAGACAAATAAAAAGAACAAAGGGCAATAACTCTATAAATACTGAAGATAGAGTTATAGTTCTTGTGCACTGCACTTCCTCTTATTGTGCTTGACCATTGTATGAAGTTGTTTTGAATTCCAACCAGTACGTTTTAAGTTATGCTCCGGACAAGGAAAAGTATCAAAGGGCAGTAACTCTGTATTTTGTCAAAATGGAGTTATGGCTCTTGTGCACTGCACTTCCTTTTAATGTCCTTGACAACTGTATGATGTTGTACTGAATTCCAAACAGTAGTTTTCAAGTTATGCTCTGGACAAGGAAAAGTAACAAAGGGCAATAACTCTGTCATTAGTCAAGATGGAGTTATGGTTCTTGTGCACTGCACTTCCCCTTATTGTGCTTGACCATAGTATGAAGTTGTTTTGAATTCCAACCAGTAGTTTTCAAGTCATGCTCTGGACAAGGAAAAGTAACAAAGGGCAGTAACTCTGTAATTAGTCAAGATGGAGTTATGGTTCTTATGCACTGCACTTCCTCTCAATGTGCTGGACCATTGTATGAAGTTATAATAAATTGCAACAATTAGTCTTTAAGTTATGGTCCGGACAAAAGAAAGCAATGGAAAAGTAATAAAGGGCAATAACTCTGTAATTACTTTAGATAGCGTTATGGTTCTTATGCACTGCACTTCCTCTCAAAGTGCTTGACCATTGTATGTAGTTATATTGAATTCCAACCATTAGTCTTCAAGTTATGGTCCGGACAAAAAAAAGAAGGCAATGGAAAAGCAACAAAGGGCAATAACTCTGTAATTACTTTAGATAGGGTAATGGTTCTTGTGCACTGCACTTCCCCTTATTGTGTTTGACAATTGTATGAAGTTGTTTTGAATTCCAACCAGTAGTTTTCAAGTTATGCCACGGACAAGGAAAAGTAACAAAGGGCAATAACTCTGTAATTAGTCAAATAGAGTTATGTTTCTTACGCACTGCACTTTTTCTCAATGTGCTTGACCATTGTATGCAGTTATATTGAATTCCAACCATTAGTCTTCAAATTATGCTCCGGACAAGGAAAATGCAACGGACAAAAAAAAAAGCAAATGGAAAAGCAACAAAGGGCAATAACTCTGTAATTACTTTAGATAGAGTTATGGTTCTTGTGCACTGCACTTCCCCTTATTGTGTTTGACAATTGTATGAAGTTGTTTTGAATTCCAACCAGTAGTTTTCAAGTTATGCCCCGGACAAGGAAAAGTAACAAAGGGCAATAACTCTGTAATTAGTCAAGATAGAGTTATGGTTCTTATGCACTGCACTTCCTCTCAATGTGCTTGACCATTGTATGTAGTTATATTGAATTCCAACCATTAGTTTTCAAGTTATGCTCCGGACAAGGAAAATGCAACGGACGTCTGGACCGACCGACCGACCGACCGCCCGACCGACCGACCAACCACCGGGTGACTCCTATATACCCCCCCAAACTTCGTTTTTGGGGGTATAACAAGAGGGCCATGATGGCCCTGAGTCGCTAACCAGAAACAACTGCTTTCCAGTGTTGGAATGTCAATATATTCTAATATTAAATTTGAGCATAGAATGCATGTTTAAACAATAATTTGAAGAAATGCCATGACCTGGGGTATTTAAGCTTTAGCTTAAACGGGGCTAATCAAATTAATATGAGCAAACTTGATAAAAGACTACTTAAGAATGCTACAAAGTTTGGTGATCATCTATCAAT